GGGGTGGGGTGGGGGGGGGTAAAGACAGCTTTTTCTAGTCTACAGTTTTGCGCTTCACCACCACCCCCAATGCGGTCAGAGCTAAACAATGCAGCTGCACACTGACACAGCACAATAAGAATACACTGCTTTGTTGCTGCTCCGTCCTTCTGACACTTTTGTTTCGTGCTTTCTGTCTTCCCAGGCTGGCAAGCAGAAGAGGAAGTTTTCATCTTTCTTCAAAAGCCTGGTGATTGAGCTTGATAAGGAGCTCTACGGGCCTGACAACCACTTAGTAGAGGTATGACATAAACCTTGGTTGCAGTTCCATTCAGAACATCGTAGGCACATTAATACCAGAGGTTCAGAGAGTGATAATAGTTCGCCAGTACCAACCTTGTTTAGCTGTGGTCGAGAAGCTGAGATCAGATTAAAACACTATAAGTTTGGAGCCAATCCTGTAGGCGGGATTATTGTGTGTGAACTCATCCCACATATAAACCAGATTCTCTCTTCTTTCTTTTTTTAAACTGAAAAATTGTGGTTAACAGTGGTGAAAGTGAGAATTTCCAGTCTTAGGGATCTGCCGATGGAACAGTTTATTTAACCTGGCACTGAGTAAAGTAGTTTTGTAAATTTCATGTTAACAAAATCTGCTTATCTGCTTTAAAAAAAAATCACGTCTTCATCTTCCAGTGGCACAGAATGCCCACCACTCAGGAGACGGATGGTTTCCAGGTCAAAAGGCCAGGAGACGTGAATGTTAAATGCACCCTTCTGCTCATGCTCGACCACCAGGTGCCTCTTACTTTCTCAACCGTCACTAAATTTTTTCCCGATGATATTTCTTTTTTTCCACCAACATTTGCTTTGTCCCGATGCTTTTCTTTGATCAGCCCCCTCAGTACAAACTGGATCCACGGTTGGCTCGCCTTCTGGGTGTACACACACAGACACGAGCCAGCATCATGCAAGCTCTCTGGCTTTACATCAAGAACAACAAGCTGCAGGACAGTCATGAGAAAGAGTACATCAACTGCAACCGCTATTTCAGACAGGTAATGGCAAATTGCTAGAAATGCCTCGTGGCGCTTTGATATTTTGGCACTGAAACATCATTTTGCATGTATTTAATTTCTCAGCTAAATGATTTGCATTCAGGCAATTATGATTTTTGTGAGGTGTTGTTTTGTAGCCCTTTGTAAGACCTCAAATAGGAAAAAAAGTTTTTCCCCTTATGTTGTCTAATTTGCTCTGTTCTTTAACTAAATCCTGTCCAGATCTTCGGCTGTCCACGCATGAGGTTCTCTGAGATTCCCATGAAACTGGCGGGCCTGCTGCAGCACCCCGACCCCATTATTATCAATCACGTCATTAGGTAGGGGAGCCTGGATCATGTTACCTCTTTCTGTCTGAAAAAAGAGCTACATCAGCCTCTCAGTGAATATTAGAAAGCCCTGTGTGTGAGGCTCATACTGAACGATAGTTTCCTTAGCTTTATGTTTTGGCCTGTTATTTCTTAGTGTGCTTATACAAGTGTGCTGTCAGCATCACTCCTTCTCTCCAAACTGTCATTGTGTCTCCCCTGAGCAGCGTGGATCCCACCGATCAGAAGAAGACCGCATGCTATGACATTGACGTGGAAGTGGACGACCCACTTAAGGGTCAAATGAACAGCTTCCTGTCTTCTACAACCAACCAGCAAGAAATCGCTGCCCTCGAGATGAAGGTAAGGCTTCATCTGCACTTCACCAGAGTCGTGGAGGGGGAAAAAAATTGCATACTCCATTTAATTCTGAAAATGTGCTGCTGGTGTTTGTATTCGCTACAGATTCATGAAACCATTGAGTACATTAACCAGCTGAAAACCGAAAGAGATTTTATGCTGAGCTTCAGCAATAATCCACAGGAGTTCATCAAGGATTGGCTGAAGTCTCAGTCCAGGGATCTGAAGGTAGACGCTATGCTCCAGCTTCTAAAATGCTCATACGTGCTTGTCTACACAACAGCAAAACATGTTATAGTTTAGTAACGCGATATTTGTATCATCTTCACTCACGTTGAGCTTTTCTCATATTTGTACAGTTGCCTGCAAAGCTTTCCCTGTATTTAATGAAAAAAAGCTGCAGTTATTTTGTGAGCAGTGGTAGTATGTTTCCAGCTTTCATAGACAATTAACTGCTGGGCACACAAAGGCACCATTGGTTCACAGGACTGTGTCCAAACATAGCATTGGTATTCAGTTGAAAGCAAAACACCAGTTAGCTGTTTGTGCTGCATTCCTCATCTGGAGAGATGTTAGCACCTGGATTAAGATGTAGGCCTTTAGGAACCAGGCTCAGTGAATCATTGATCCATCAGACTCTCAGTACTACTACAGTCACTTGGCAGTGCATGAATCAGTCTTAACAGTACTGTTTTAGCATGTGGGAATAGAAACCCCTTTTCTGTAATCATTCAATTTTGGTTCCCTGTGTTCAGTGATGCATTTCTGTTCTTTCAGTTGATGACAGATGTGACTGGAAACCCAGAAGAGGAGAGGAAGACCGAGTTCTACCATGAGCCCTGGGTGCCAGAGGCAGTGGGCAGATATGTTTACTCCAAAGTAAGTAGACAGTGAATAATACACTTTTTAGTGCTAACTAGTGTTAGCTTATACATGTCAAGATGTGGTAAGTCAAAAAATTAGACCAAAATAAAATTAGAAAGATCACATTTCAAAACCAATGTGTGATGTCACAGCGTCCATTTTTTCTATACAGTTTGTGGTTTTGCCATTGAGTCTAACCTCTTCTTTGCTATAGGTGCAGCAGAGAAGGCAAGAGCTGGAGCAGGTGTTGGGTATCCGACTCACCTAAGTACAATTCTAAAGGAGGCACAGCCACCTTAGGTTTACTCATGAGTTGTTAATGTTCCACTCAGCTGAAACTGGAAAGAATTCTTTCACCTTTAAATGTTCAGAAAGCCATCGTCACTGACGCAATGTTCGGGGACCAAAGTAATGCTTATATGACCTTTAATAATATCTTTGCCTTGTAGTGTCTGATATATTGAGCCTGTTTAAATAACCTTTATCCTTTTTTTTATTTTTGCAATATGTTTTGTCTCTGGTACAAAATGCTGTTTAAGCACTGGTGCTGTTTGGGTGTTTTCACCGTCACTTTGAGTGCTGTTTTGAAAGAGGTATGTGTTTACCCTTACATTGAAAAGCCATAATTTTTAGATAAGAGTAATGCCTGATCTTCCTGGAGGCATGGTAGAATTAAGCATTTCATTCCAGTGTGTATAATACGTTTAATGCTTTTGCAGCATTTTTGAAAGTTGAAATGAAACATTCTGATTTTGTGAATGTTTACATGCCGTTTTTATTTGTTAGTGCGGTGATTCGAGGGGAAGAGGAGCTGAGGCTCTTTAGATTGAACGGATCCATACCTTCAAAGAAAGTTAACTGCTATTAATAATTTGATAGGAATGTAACTGCAGTATGTCAGCTAAAAAAGGAGAAAAAAAAAGCGCCAAAATATTGTGTACAGTTTATAGTTTCATGAGTTAAAGCTTTGCTGTTTTGTTGACTTTTTGTACATCAGTCTTAAAGTTCTTGAAACATTCCTTTTTGACAGATATCATTGTGCCAAAATGTCTTTAGTGAAGAAGGCACATAGAATTTAAGATGAGGTAAAAACGTTGTGTACAAATGTTATTTTTGTACAGCTTCTCTTTGTTAAATGTTTGCATGTTGTGTATCAATCAAAAGCCTTTATCTTTTATACATTTGGAGTATTTTTTACAATAAATATACTTACAAATGTTCACGTACTGTGTGTTCTTTAACAACATTCAGCCTGTTACAGAGGGGTAAGAATTTATATAGAATATTGTCCGTTGTATGCTTGTAATAATGTCGTCTACCGCACACCCTCGATTGCATGCTTAGAGAGCTGCAGATATGCCGTGAGGTGCATGTTGGGGCTGGTTGCAAAGCTTAGGTGCCTCTGAGAGCAGCCGTTTCAACAGGTATGTCTGGTCTTACTCAAACAGCTTCTGTTTACCACTCCTCAAATAACAGCCAACCCTAAAACACCCTTCACTAACAGAGCTCTCTCTCTGCTTGTAATGTGACACTGGTTCAAAGAAAAGGCCAGCCTAACGTTTAAAACTGAATTAGATTCTTTGATCATTTTTGCATGTGTTTACTGACTTAATTATGCTTTGAATATGGTCTCTTATTTTCAATTTATTACATTTTATTTATCTAGCACCAAATCACAACAAGGGTCAGCTGAAGGTGCTTTATATCGTAAGGTAGACCCAATATTAACAGACACAATTCCTTAGTATTCCAAGAATTCATATTGGTTACATAGAAATTATTTTTAAAGTTAAAGAGAATATTGGATTTTTTTTTTCCCCACCCACTACTGCCTGCACCGTCTCTTTCACCTCTCCTATGCACTGTTTGCTTTGGATGTTTGATCCCAGGCATTTAAATGCCTCTACCTTCACTACCTCACATCCTTGCATCTTTACTGTCACACCAGCCCGCCCTTTATTCACAGACGTATTCTTCGCCTCGCTTCTACCATCTTTCATTCCTTTCCTCCCCAGTCTTCTACCTCCTCCCTGCTCTCACTATAGATTACACCGTCATCTGTGAACATGATAGTCCATGGATTCGCCCGCGTGAACTCATCTGTTAATCTTTCCATCACCACTGCAAACATTAAGGGTCTCAGAGCAGATTCCTGATGTAATCCCACCCCCACCTTGAACCCATCCGCCACTCCTACTGCGCACCTCACCACCGTCTCGCTGTCCTCACACGTCCTGGAATTATTTTTTTAAAGGTGTAGTTTTTTAAAATAGACTGTAGGTGGCGGTGTCTGCATTTGTATATATTATACATCAAAGAAATACCACGAAGACGCGCCACTTACCGGAAATAGCGCCTGGTCTGCAGTGGCTTTAACCGGATGTAGAAATTTCAAGATGGAGGTGGACGGAATTGATCATGTAGGTGTATTTTTTTCCCTGCCGCTTTGTTGCTTTTATGACTGCCATGCGAAGGAAACATTTCTGTTTTGCTGTGGGCCTAATAGTTTATTCAAAATCGGTTGTTTGAGGGAAGGATGCGGGACTTCAGTGTAAAAACGGAAACGTCACTTCATTGAAAGCAGCGATTGTGCCGGTTTGCTGTCTCATTGTAGCTAACCCAGCTAGCTTCTCACGATGACTGGCAGTAAGGTGCGGACAGTTTATTCTATTCTTAGCTTTTTTGACCACACAGGGGTGCTTATTTCAGCATATTATGAGAGATATATATCTGAGTTTATTATACGGGAAACACCAAGCGTTACTTTATTAATATACGTGCACGTCTGTACGTAAGCTAACTGATGTTAGTTTGCTAATGAACTGTAATTGTTGGGAGAAAGTAAGCGTCACACGCTTTAACGCTTATTGTTACATAGGTTGTTTAGGGGTTTTTTTGTATTCCTTGCCTAAAAGACATTTCCTGTGTTGGTGCTACTGGTTAGGCCTAATGGCTAATGTAAACAGTGGTCAATTTCAACCAGTTCAGTCCACCAATTTAATCAATGAAAACTGGACAAATGTGCATTTCTATTCTTCTTCTAAAATATTAGATAATGTCAAGCTCGGCATACACTGTTTACTGATAAATGTTGTGTACTTTGCATTGTCCAACATAAGATCCTCTCATCGGGCATGTACGTTGGACTTTTCGGGACCACAAAAAGCTAATGTAGATGATTTATATGCTGCTGGGTAATCTAAAATAATGTTCGCGGGAAAAATGTTACAGTTCCTCAGTATTTTTACAGCATAAGTCTGTAGGCTGCTATATAATTGGTATCTTAATCTTCAACTTTAAATGTAGTGGCGTAAATGCTATAGTAGGAAAAAGAGACGTGGTTTGCATCCTTCAGGAGATATCTGCCTAACTAAAACTGTATGCATAGAGGCTGCTTCATATTGAGGGTATACAGAGTACACAGTGACGTCTCTGCTCCAATTTAGCATTGCGTTTTGGCTGGAGCCTATTCCAGCTGTCATAGGGCCAGTGGCAGGGTACATCATGGACAGGTCGCCAGTCTTTTGCAGGGCTAATTCATATATACAACTATTCGTGCTCACATTCACACCGTCACCAATTAATCTTACACCACCTTGGACTGGATTCAAACCCAGAACCTTCCTGCTGTGATACAGCAGTGTTAACCACCATACCACACTTGATGGACAACTTTTAAGTTGCAAATGGGGACTAAAGGAAAGGCACTTGAGAATTCATTTGACCCAGTTTGCTGTCGGCTCTGTCAAAATCATCATCACTCACACAAATTGGCAGGCAGCATAGCAATCAACTGGCCAACATACTTTCTTAGCTTAAAACAAGAATGAAACAAAATTGATGGCTTATAAACGCAGTCATTGATTGATGCATATTTAACCTCCTAAGACCCGAACTCTTCCACGGCATGCATTTTTAATTTCTCTTTGATATTTGGGCTGATTGGGACCCAATGAATGTAAAAATAAAGAATTACCAGATTTTTTTTTTTAACCTAATTTTTGTTTCTAAGAAAAATGAGAGCCACATATAAAGATATTCCTTTAAAATTTCAATAGAACAGTAGCAGTATAATGTCCTCGTAAGTGGATATCAGGCCCTTGTGGAGCAAAATTGAGTATTTTGGTCTAAATAACCCAAAATGTGATGTCCACATATGTGGATGCCAGGTCCTAGGAGGTTAAATATGCCATATTTAAATGTTCAAGAGCTCGCTGTGAAGAAGTTGCACCATGTTGCAATGTGTTTCTTTAGCAGATGGAGATGGGGGAGAGTAAAGGTGGATCAGGTCTGCGGCAGTACTACTTATCTAAGATAGAAGAGTTGCAGGTGAGGAAATGAAAAATCATTTTTGTTTTTGTTGCTTTTTAACGCACACTTGCCCGTCAGGCCTGACCTACTTTTTTTCTTCATAGTTGACTGTGAACGAGAAGAGTCAGAATCTCAGACGTCTGCAGGCACAGAGAAATGAGCTCAATGCCAAAGGTATGGTGCTTTATCTTCCTGCCACATTACTGGGAATTGTGTCATTCTGATGTACACAGTCAGACATTTCCTTTGTTACTTTGGTCTCAGTGCGTCTCCTTCGTGAGGAGCTGCAGCTACTACAGGAACAGGGATCCTATGTGGGAGAGGTGGTGAGGGTCATGGACAAAAAGAAAGTGCTAGTTAAGGTATGCTGTGTACATTCACCATGCAGCATCCTTCTTTTTGAATCAGTCGTGGACAGTTTTAATTTATGTCTGTTCATCATTTTCAGGTGCATCCAGAGGGAAAGTTTGTGGTGGATGTGGACAAAAACATTGACATCAATGATGTGAGTATTATAAAACCTGAGTCCATTTGTAATATTTATTGTAAAGTATGATGGAGCTAAACAAGAAAGAAAATGTATTTTACTCATAAAATAAGTACCAGGAATCAGGAAACCTAAACTGTTCTGTTATTATTTCTGTCAAATTGCCACTAGGTGACTCCAAACTGTCGTGTAGCTCTGCGTAACGACAGCTACACCTTGCACAAGATCCTTCCTAACAAGGTGGACCCTCTGGTGTCCCTCATGATGGTGGAGAAGGTGCCGGACTCCACCTATGAAATGATCGGCGGCCTGGATAAGCAGATCAAGGAGATCAAAGAAGTGATTGAGCTGCCCGTCAAACACCCCGAGCTGTTCGAGGCTTTAGGCATTGCCCAGCCCAAGGTGGGTATTTGACAAGAGAGCCGATGGTACGAATTTCAGAAGTTTCTCTTAGGGTTTTATAATCATATCTTTGACACATTTTCTCGTCTTGTTGCCTGCCCATCATTCACTTCAGTCCTAAAACATGAAAAGCAAAGAGAGGGGGAAAAAAGATAATTTCATTAAATCGGTTAACTAAAGCTACACTTGTCGCATCTGTGTAGGTGGTTCAGATTTTCCTTTGTGCTTGCAGGGAGTGCTGCTCTATGGCCCCCCAGGTACAGGGAAGACCCTCCTTGCCAGAGCTGTGGCCCATCACACTGACTGCACCTTCATCAGGGTGTCTGGATCAGAGCTGGTCCAGAAATTTATCGGAGAGGGTGTGTGCCTTTTCTTTCCTGTACACTGGGATCGAATTGATCCCCATGTTTTTAATAACTGGTTTTGGTTAATTTCTCCCTGGCTGTTCACAGGTGCCCGTATGGTGCGAGAACTCTTTGTCATGGCGAGAGAGCATGCTCCGTCCATCATCTTCATGGATGAGATAGACTCCATCGGCTCATCTCGGCTGGAGGGAGGCTCAGGCGGGGACAGTGAGGTGCAGAGGACGATGCTGGAGCTGCTCAATCAGCTGGATGGCTTCGAAGCAACCAAGAACATCAAGGTACTGCAGAAGATCACTGTGTAGTCTCATATCCTTACTATGAACACTGAGGTGTAGTGTTATGTGCACAGGACAACCTCTTAAAACATGCGTCACTGATGACATTTCGGCTTGCTGTATAGGTTCTTTATGCATAAATGACATTTTGTGGTACAACTGGTATTTATTTATATGCCAGCATCACCTAAAGTTGCTGATGACTACAGAAGACCTTTATAATATTTCGAAACAACTAATGCTGCATTTGTTAAATGTTCATGAGTGCCAAACATGGGCGTTAAAGTATTAAATAACCCCAATTATTCAAATATACTTAATAGTATGTCGTCCATCTCTGCAGGTCATCATGGCCACTAACCGTATTGACATCTTGGATTCAGCTCTGCTCCGGCCAGGCAGGATTGACAGGAAGATCGAGTTTCCGCCTCCCAACGAAGAGGTAGTGAATCGTTATACCCTTTAGCGTGTTTACTCAAACATGCTGAGTTTTTTGTATCTAAGCACACTTAATTATGCGCCCACAGGCCCGTCTGGATATCCTGAAGATCCACTCCAGGAAGATGAATCTGACTCGCGGCATTAACCTGAGGAAGATTGCAGAGTTGATGCCTGGAGCTTCTGGTGCTGAGGTTAAGGTAAGAATTAACCTGCTAAATGGAAGCTGTGTTAAATGAGGAACTACATCATTAAATTTCCCCTACTGCATTTGTGTATTATAGGGCGTCTGCACAGAGGCAGGGATGTATGCTCTGAGAGAACGGAGAGTGCACGTCACTCAGGAGGACTTTGAGATGGCGGTGGCAAAGGTCAGTATAACCTAAAGCTAATTTTTGAATGCAGTGTTCACGTCTTGCACTATACTAACCCAGTTTAACTTTATCAGGTCATGCAGAAAGACAGTGAGAAGAACATGTCCATCAAGAAGCTTTGGAAGTAAAAGGCCTTGTGTATTCTTGCACACAATGCAACCACATATGTATATTTCCCTTTTGTTTATGGTTTATAATTGTTTCATGAGTGTGATCCATCAGTAAAATAGTTTCCCCAATAAACAGAGTTGGTCTTGTTTTATTTCTCAAGCAAATGTAGACAAATTCAACCCACTTCACTAAACTCAAACTATTGTCAAAGCAAAATCAGTCATATGGTCTTCAGATTTCTTCTGCTTTACAGTTAACATATTCAATATGGCACTTCACATTATAGCTGCTGTTATAATAGGGGGCTTACATAGCTGACCACACTGAGTGCAGATGTTTTTGACAACAAGTTGCTGTAGGAACTTTGTCCTGCATGCTTGTACTACATACCTTTCTCATATAAAGCCACTGCACTATCAGGATATACGGTATGTACACCAGCACTATCTGACTACTGTGGTCATTCTATGCTGACCACTCTGCAACAGGCCTGTTGAATGTTCTTTTACAGTGACTCACATACTCATTTGTGGAATGGTTACACGGCAGTAAAACACTGGATCAGTCCAAATGCTCAGCACCTTCAGAGGCACGCCATAGTTCTGTCCTCTTCTTCTATTTGGAAGGTCAGCTGGCTAGCGCCTCACCCAGGACGCAGGCACCCACTGTGGCTCCATCTGTACTTTTTCCAATACAACCTGGAGCTCTGCTAAGGCACTAGCTGGATCTTCCTTTACCAACACGTAGTCGACCCAGTGGCCGTAGCATTCGTCCATTTGCTCTGCCGACTGCTTCATTTCCTGCAAGTCATCGTCCTGGAGAGGAAGAGAGACAAGTGTTTAGCTGCTAATACACTCTGCTCAAGAACAGCCGAAGTTAAACTAATGACCATATGGAATTTCTCTATTCTTACTCAGTACCCTTCAGAGCTGGCATGTAAGATATTAAGATATTGTCAAAATGTGACTTTTTGAACGTGGCACGATTTTTGGTCCCAGACAGGCTGGGAAACTGCTGATCTACTGAAACCATCTCTCAGAATTTGGCATAAACAACATGAAAGCATGGATCCATCCCATCTTCAGGCTGTTGTTGGTGTGGGGGGATATTATCTTGGCATCATTTAAATGCCACAGCCCACCTGAGTATTGTTGCTGACCACGTCCATCTGTTAAAGACCACAGTGTCATCATCTTTTGTTGGCTGCTTCCAACAGGATAGCATACCATACTATGACACAGCTCATTCACTTCACTGTATTCAAATGACCTTCACAGACACCAACATATTTGGCTGTGTGTTTGTACAACTAAGTAACTTTAACTTTTTTAAGCAGTTTATATTAAACATAAAATGCTCACACACTGAGTTTAAATGCATGCCATGTGAAGAAAAGCTTTATTTACTGAGCTTCAATCAGCCTTTTGATATGATGCCTTTCTCAACAAAACAAACAACGCAAGATTACCTTAGTCTGAACTAAGCCTTTGTAAGCTTCATTTATATTCCACCATCAATAAGCCCAGAAAGTGTACTGCACGTCTGGCAGGTTTGATGTGGGATCACTCACCGTGACCCCTACGCTGAGTGAGGAAGAGGAGCCAAACTGCTTTCTCTGACCATCACCGATGCGAAGCCTTACAAAGATGACATATGGTTTGAACTCAGCGGTGCGGAGAGTCTTCAATGCCTGAATGTGATAAGACCAATCAGCCATTTACAAACTCCCATATAAAAATCCCACAGAGCTTTTTCTATGCTGAGAAGATATACTGCACAAACAGACGACCATATAAAGTCAAATCAATGTCTAAGTATAAAAGACTGCACAATTATCAGAGAGGATATTCTTTTTGAAGCAAACAGAAACAGCCTGTGAGCCACTAAAAATGTTAAAACAAACATTTTTGATGATTTATTACTGGTTTCATGTTGGCAGACAGTTGCACAAAATAAAGTGAAAAATCAATTTGCCTGATATCATGCATTTCTATCACTTGTCTCCAGGCTCCGGAAAGCTTCACAGGTCTGGACGCAGGCAACAGATCAATCCAATTTCATTTGAAAATACCATAATATGAAATGTATTCCAATATTGCACATACTACACATGTATATGGCACAATGTGGCCAATATGCAACCTGCTGTCTTTACTTCTTTTAAAGAAGAAGGCACTTTTACATTGACACAGAGGAAATTCGATTTAAATGAGAAGTGTATTTGGTTGGCAGTGCCGCCTACCATATTTTTAAAAACACTTACCTCTGGCTGCACATCCACCAGACAGACCTTGTTCTGATCCAAAACTCTGTGAATGGAGTCCAAACTGGTGCCATAGAGATTCTCTTTATACTCGCCGTACTCAATAAACCTGCAGAAACACATCACCACTAACGAGTTAATTAAATTAACTAAAATGCTGAAACGCTTCAATTAACCCTTTTGTGTTCTATAATTTTTTTTGCACTTCATCAGAAAACATTGTTCCCAGCACTCACTTGCCATTCTGGATGTCTGCCTCAAAAGCAGCTTTACTGATGAAGTGGTACTCCACTCCTTCTCTCTCATGACTCTTCCTGGCTCGAGTGGTGTCTTCAGGGCGCAGTTGGTCAGCAGAAAGAGCAAGTTGGAAAATAAGACACAAGATACTGGATGCTTGTATGTTTCTGGATATCTCATTAAGCTCGATACTGATTGCATTAAAAAGCAGTGCGTTTACTGTAAAATCAACTTGCAAAGAGATACTTGTCTCAGTCAGTACCAGTTCTCTTTTTTATGTTTCGCCAATGAGTTATTAAAAGCTGAACATCTTTCCAACTACACCAAAGTCTGCAACTCCCTGTCACAGACATCCACAAGCTCCATGTATGACTCGTTGTTTATTTTGGCGTGTTTTAAAGTCTCTCGTACTGAATCGTCACAGTTGTTAAACTGGGGAAAACAGCAGCTATGATGGTGACGTTAAATGATTCACCGTCTCACAGTCTGCCTGTGCAGAGATTAGATGCACACACCTCCCTTGAATTAGGCAGTGGGTTGCCAGGTTGGTGCGACAGATGGGTTTGGAAGCATTGAAGGAACGGCTGTTGTGAAATGGTGTCATAACTAACAAAACTGAATTGGAATGGTATGTGGTGTGTGGATTGTTTGTTTAATAATCTGGAAACTTGTGTAATATTTTGAGGGTCACGCAAATTATGGGAGTTTCCTGAGAGAAATGTAAAGGTTGAGTGTGTTTGCAGGTATCAAGTGCCAAAGAACAAAGTGCCTTATACTCACTCGAAAGCTCTTTTACTTCACTCTTATGAATCCAGTGCAAACACTTACAGTCAATTAGAAAAGATAAACAACACTTACGAGGCACAGCCAAACCGTACCGCCGCAGATTCTCAGCAATCACCTTCTGTTTGAGCTCAGCGATCCGTGTTCCAAGTGAACCTATGACCATACAAACAGCATAGCTAGTTTATATAAGATGAACTTGGAACATGTGTGTATAGAACTGGGCAAAAGTTCACTCATTGTGGGCATGAATAACATGGTAGTTTGGAGTTTTTAATGATTTCTTTGAACTGTTCCTTTTCCAGGATGAAATGATTGTACAGCATACATCTGTAATCTCTTAAAGAAAATCCCAGGAAGTTTGTGCACAAGTCTGAATCTTTTTGGATTTTCTCACAGGGCCAAAGTTATGCATTAATATACACACTAATATTTGGATTTTTAAATTTGAAAGGCTAAAGTTGATTTAAATTGGCTGGTTTTGAGCGTACTTTCAATGTGGTTAAGGTCGTGTTTTTTTCGAAGGCCGGTTCACAATCATATTAGCCTGCTTTATCCATTCCAAAACATCCAGTTGTGCCCAAGTTTCAGTTGTCTAGCTGTTTATCTGACTCTAATTCGAAGGTAGTCTTCCTCCACGATTCCATACACTTTGTGTAACGTACCAACATTACAAACAAACAGCCCCAGAGCATGATGCTACCTCCACCAGTGTTCTCAGGTTTGAAAACCTCAGCATTACTTGTCCAAACATACCAACGGTCATTACCACCATAAAGCTCAATATTGGTCTCATCTGACCATGAAACTCTTGTCCATAAGGCATTTGCTTTATCCATAAAGTCCATAAAGACTTTGATGAAGTCGATTTTGGAACAGAGACTTCGTCCTTGGTCGGCGCTCTCAGTTCATAGTGATGTAAAACTCACTTCACTGTGACGCTGCTATTCCAGCAGTTTCCACTTCATGACAGGTTTGACTCCTGGTGGTTCCTGAACATCCTAAAGAATTTTGAGGTTGACTTCACCGTGTCAAGTTAAAATACTATTTTAACATTGTAAACACAGATTTGAGTTTATGCACATAAAGAACAGTTAAATTAAAATCCTAAAACTACCATGACATTCATAACCCGTGATGCCTGTATCTGAATTTCTCATCACAACAACTGTAGTTTCTTCGCTGTAAAAATTCACTCCAATTGACGAACCTATGAGTGTTATAAGGCGAGGTCTCTCTCCAGGACGTGGAAAATATTGTGCGACTTCCTCGTAAATCAGGAACTCTGTGTGATTGGCGTCAGGAGTGTGCGCTTCACCAGGAGAACCCTGGCGATCTTTCCTGTGGCGGAAGCTTCTGCGTAGGCTAGCTGTTAAAGACATGAAGGTAGCCTTAGGGTACACATATGCTACTGCACTGATCCACACTTATACAAATCCAATAAATACACCAAAATCCAGCCCATGTATTGCAGATCACTCTGCCACTTTGATATTAAGAAACAGGTTTGAGGTAGCTGAAAATCGCATGTCAAAACAGTATCACACAAGACACACACAGTGGACAACACCATTAGATATCAGTAAGAGTACCTGAGTAAAAATCCCATGAGAAAGCATGGCCACAGAAGGCAGGGGCTGCCTTACTCTTGGGAGAAACTACAACTTATATTAGACCATTGAGTAAAGCATTTTATTTTATTTTATTATTTCTTTTGAAACAGAATAAAAAGCCATGCATGCTGTGTCTAACTTCTTAAAGGACAGAGTAATTACTATCAGCATGACGCATGATGACGGGCCATTTGCAGCACATTGAGATGGCATGAGGCGCCACATGAACACTGAGAAGCTCGATGGCTGTAGCACACAAGGCAAAAAGCCTGCCAGCCTAATCATACCCTAACAGGCTATATTTATATTAAAATTTGTTTGATTTTACAGAGGAAAAAAAAAATCTAAGCTCATATTGGCACTAAAGAAAGTTGGGTTCCTAAAGTTGTTACATCCTATCCTAAGAAGAACATGGGGATGTGCAGTAAACCCGATGGCAATCCATCCGGAAGTTGCTGAGGTGTTTCATTTAAAAACCACAAAAAAATGGTTATATTACTAGGGTGACCAGGTTTCCTCATTCATTTGTTACTGCTCATCAATCATTTTCTTCTCTGGCTCCAATTTCCAAAAGTCAACACTGCCCAAGTGCAGTTTCACATGTCACTGTATTACCATCAATGCCACGCTCAATGAGAAACTCACTTCAGTTATTGCTGCAATATGATGGAAAAGACTACAAAAAACAAAAAACACATAAAAACTGCGTAACTACAACTACAATTACGCTACAGTGATATGAGAGACTGAAACACTGAGCTTTTATGCAGTTTCTGGTTACTGTTCAGTTAGCATAGACAAGAATATGATGTTAAGTACCACAGTACATGTGAGAATCAGTAGAAATGTTTGGCTCAAAAAAAAAAATGCTGATCTATGGATGCATCCCTGCTGATAATCAAAGAAAAGTTTGGTAGTTTTAGTTCATTAGGTGAACTAAAAAGGATCAGTTAGAAAAGTGGAATAAACAACTTTAAGACTCCACTATTGAACCATAAAAACGATATTCTTTATGGTGAAACAAAGTTTTTAATAGGACTCAATGCAATCTGTGAAAAAACTAAATACACCCCATAACTCAGTACACCGACTCTTCTTTTTCAGCCATTCTGCTGTAGTTTTGCTGATGGACTTCATTGTCCTGTTGTGTGACCAAATTTGTGCCAAGCTTTCACTGCTGGACAGACAGCCTCACATTTGACTCTGGAATACACACGGAGGAGTTTATGGTCGACTCAATGACTGCAATGAGTTTGATACATGAAAATTTTACACTACCTCTCAGCATTAGTATCCCATATCATCTCATACAAACATACCATTTGTCCCATGTTTAGCTTGTTGGAAACTGGTCACCCTAGTTGCCACTACAGGAACGTCTAAATGAAATTACACTACATTAAGGCAGCTGTAGAGATATTTCAGCTCTAGGGGACAGATGGGTGTGGACATGGTTTAGGGGAGAAAAAAAAAAAGAAGGTCAAAATGGTGTGAACAAACACCCACTGAAGCAGTCACATCCTGGAAGCCCAGCCAACCTACTGGTGAGAATTTCTTGTGTAGTGGTCACACACGTGGACTGTTTTCTGTTTGACGGTTATCTGGCCTAACCCTCAATAATCAATGAAGCAACACAAAGCAATCCAGTCTCACACAATCTGAGGAATAATATGCACACTCGAAAAGAAAAAGCTTAGCACACACACTGAGCGAAAGATGTGATGTTGCAGTGATTAACATAAACTCACTGATTGTGCTTGCTCACCTATGTCCTTTCCATTCACAGCACTCTTATTGTCACAGTCTTCTGTTGGATGGCAATCGGGAAGAGAAGACAGGGTAAGAGGAGGGAGGAGGTGTTGGGGGTACTTTAACGTGAGAACACAGCAGGTTAGGAGAGGATTTGTGGCAATTAAAGAAACTGTAAAGGCAAAACATGGCACAGTGTGGATGGGGAGGAGGAAAGTGACCAAAATTTGTGTTTCAGATGGGTCGATGAGAATTTCATACAGAAATTCAGGCAAGAAAAACATGGAGCCAGTCCAAACTGGGGATGAGAGATGGTTGCTAAAATGAAGGGTTTTCTACGTACCTCTATCGGCCCGTTCATCTGAAGTTAGCAAAGCAAGGAATAATACACAGTATCACTGTAGAGTGTGACATAGAGTATTCGGCGACCCCTAGTGTACATTCAGCTCTCTCAAATTCACAATGCGGTCTCATAACTGTCACTGTATCCATGCTTGGAGATCCTCAACCATCTTCTTTCTCTACTGGAAAGACTTTAATTTTTTTAAAAATTAAGAATAACTGGATAATCAGATTTTTAAAGGAGAGAAACCATTTTACTACTGCATCTTTTTGTAGATGCAAGAAAAGGACTTGCGTCATTTCATCTTTTAAATTGGATTTAAGAAATTAAAGTGATGGATTATGCATTTCCCCCCCTCAGAGATTAATCTTTGATCCCCTCCTTCTCTTTATAATCTCTCTTTTAGGACCTCCTTGGATAGATTAGATTTGACCCACAACAGAAGATGTGTGTTGAGATCTAAGAGTCTAAAACATTTGCGCTTGTATATAGTAAGTAATGCTTACATGTGGGAGCTTTTGGGGAAATGGGAGCAGACACGGAACCCATTTTCATCCTGTATCTCAGTCGCCTGGGAAGAAAAACAAAAACATTTTCAAAAATGTATTACTGATAAAAAAAAGGCAGCTTTTTAACATCTGATACACAGACTGTTGATGCAAGCTACCTCTCCTGAAACTGCACCGAAGGGATGAGGGCAGCGCGCAGGTTACAGTCGCCCACCCTCTTGGCCTGCCACCAGGTGGGGTCCTCCTGGCTAACAACCTGAAGAACGTCACCCCGTTTAAAGGGAAGTCCTGCCTCCTGGCACGGGGTTGCTTTGTCCTCAAAAGGTGTGTAATCAAATAAAGCCCGGATGTAGACCTTTAAAAAGAAGGAGGAATATTCTGTTAAAAACTTTATCATCTCTGTATTTATTTAACTTTATTCATTATATACAGAAAAGTGTAAGATACTTTGGTGAATACACATATAGTGCTGTGCAAAAGTCTCGAGCCACTCGTCAGTGTGTCTACACATAACAGACGACTAAGCCAATAACAATTTTAAACTGTATCTTTAGACACTTTGTTACTATCAGCCTGACACAGATCCAAGATCCAGCAGAGATCTGACACAGGCTGAAGCAACAACTGGTCGCTGAAGCCTCATCAGGCTTTCATTCCAAGGAAAGAAAGCTGAAAATGGACTGGAGAAAAAAAAAAAATCTGTGGCAACAGGTCTTATGGAGTAATGAACCCTAATTAGACATTTTTGATTCCAGTCGTTATCAGTTTGCACAGAAGAGATCAGGAGAGATACAACAGTGAGTGGAGGTTCTGTCATGGTTTGGGGTATTTATTTTATTTTTTAAATGAGGGGTGGATCATGACATTTTTTTCCCCACAGTTCTGTAATTCAGCAAGTTGCACAATCAAACATTTGCTCATACGCAACACTAAAGGGCAAGGTAAAGAGGATACATGTGAATAAACCTTGATAAAGGGCGGAGTGGTTGTTGCCTTCCATAAGAAAAGCCTGCGTACTCACGCAGCAAGCATTCCTAACCTTGCTTTCTTTCATTTTATCGTCATCTGCAACAGCTGGGATGATTTTCAGTGTGATGGAGCCTTGTGATTGGGACTAAAAAAACAACAACAACAGAGCACCACCATGATCGGCTGCCAGCTACAAGAATCATTGTATCTGAACTAGTCCGATTCCACATTTATTACCAGTATCTGACTAATTTCATCTGGCCTTTTGTGGGTTATCAGGTTTCCGTTGACCTCTCGAAGCTCATCCCCTACATGCACCAGACCTGGAAACACAAGCACAGCACGCAGGGGGAATACAGCTAAAGAAATGCCCAATACACAGATTCTTAGAATATAAACCTGAAATGTGAACAAAAGACGATTTTGTGTTGCCAGTATGTCAATAACATTACTATGGCAACATCCAGACGCAAACCTAGTTTGTATTCTCAAAATATGCAATCTCGTGGCACTAATCTCACGGATTTGATTTCTGTTACAGTTCACAGGGTTATGCAATGTAATCTACTCACATCTCTCTCAGTATATCAGTAGTGCTAAGAAAGTCCCACTGGGTAGCGTTAGCATCCACAGTAATAGAGACTGTTTCTATCGGCAGATTATACTATAGTGCTGTTCCATTACGCATTTGATTTTCCACATAAAAAATATCTGGCATTTAAAGTTCAGTAGAAATGTTTTGCAAACTCAGTCTCACCACTCCGGTCAGCTGCGCCTCCCCTCATGATTCGGGCCACAATTACAGCTCCTGTTGCTTCATCTCTCCGAATAGTCGCTCCCTGTTTATACAAGCACGCACATTAATAAATAAGATGTATTCATAGCAAATCTCATCCCAAAGTCACTAAGCTGGCCTAATCCTCCGACTGGAGGAAGAGGCTCCCAATTTGCAGCTAGTTGTAATTGGAAAGATCAATAACTGACTGAAGCTAAATGTCAAAATGGTACGTGAATGAAGAGTCTGATACCCCATCATCAATATTGCCTACTTCTTTGTGCTTCTACTAAAAGTTCATGCAATTTAATGACATTTAAATGCTGTAATTACAGGTTTAGCTTCAATCACTGTTTGCTACTCTGGGTTACAGCTACATTTTTAGCTTTAAGTAAATCATGTGTTAGTTTGACATTTTAGAAGATGTAATGTACTTATTTCCTTTCCTACTGAGAGCTGGATGAAGAGATAAACACTAATTTCATGTCTGTGTACTCACAGCATGAAGGTGCAGTCAGCAGACAGTTAGCTTAGCTTAACAGTCTTAAATCTGGAAACAGGGGGGGAACTGTTAGCTTGGCTATGGACCAAGTGGTCTGTGAGGCTTTGACAAAACTTCTGAAGCTTATATTTTGTGTCAACAATGAAACTCAGCCAAAGTCTAATCTACAGCTAGCTGCTTGTTGATATAAAAGTAGGATCGCATTAGCCGTATATATTTTTTCTGTGGATTTTGTAGACACTCATTCATACTTCAGATTTATCCAAGACTGTTCATTGAAGTTCATTAAAGTAAAGTTCTTGAGGACAGGATGAGGATTTCCAGTTGTACAGTGTAACATTCTTGCATTTACGTAGCACTTTGTTCTTCTTACCGACAAATCAAAGTATTAGTAAGTTATACAACTTATATAAGAGACAGCCGTTGGTTTAATACCCGAACAACCAATTCCTTAAAAATAGTCTGCTTTGATGATTTTTTTCTGCTATCCTGCAGAGCGTCATTTGCAGCACATCACCCTCTTTTACCGATGTTTGAAAATCTCTGGATGGGGAAGGAGGCAACTTGTCCCACTTACTGGGACCAGTTTAAGAGTCAATAAATATCTGAAAATGACCCGGCTCTGTAATGTCTTCTACAGCCTCCTGTACACAGGTTCTAACTTGTGAATGAAGCAGTGAGTGCCGGCAGGTTGGGGTTGATCTTTTCCACATATGAGTATGACTGCTCCTCTTTATCGATGCCCTTCATAAAGTTGTTTCAAACTCCAATTTAACAGGTTCAAATAAAGCTGTTGATTTCACCTTCATAGGAAAATCTAATATCAATCATCAGCACATATTTGATACTCAGTAGGAATATTTATTTGCTTTTTTGTGCGCGTTTCTTATAATCTGATTTACTGAATCAGTTTCATTTCTCTTATATTTCATTAGCAGTAGTTTTCAAAAAGCAGGTACTAGTTTAATGAAAAGCCAAACTGCACCCTTAGACACTTACCAGTGGCTCCTTGTTCTTCACCAGCCGAACGATCTTCACAGACTCTTCCTCCAGGTCATCGTCCAGATCGTCTGGGAGCGGTGGCAGCACAGGGTCAAATTTCTTTTGAGCCACTGTGTCATGAGCCGATAGCACTGCCTGAATCACAAGCCAAGATTTAGGAGCTCGATCAACAGAGATAAAAGGATCCAGAAAAGAAGGTTACAGCACGTAGGAAACATACACGATTTCTGGGGAAAAGAAAACTGAGGGAATAAAATGAACGTTCTGATTCCACAGCTATCATCAATTCCCAGAATGCTTCCCAGACAGCCAACAACCTGAGCATAATCACTTGATCAGAGTAATTAGGCAGTCTTGTGTGTGTCTAGGGGATGGGGAAGGGGTACAGACAGCTCTGACGGTGGTGTTATGTAATAAATGTGGAAAAATCAGAGGTGTGCAGGGCAAAAATACTCTGAAGCAGCATTATTAAAGAGATCAAACCTCAGAAGGAAAGAGAGGATGTCTAGATGTAGCAAGGGAGAGGTATGGACTAGCATTTATCAGCTTCTTTATGCAGGCTGAAAAAAGCTGTGTGTGCGTGCATGCGTGCGTGTGTGTGCGCGCGTGCGTGTACACCTTGAGATGAGGAGTGCTCAAGAGGAGCAGCAGTTCTTGCTCATCATCCTCCAGTGGCCCATTCTGAAGCTCTTCTGCTAGCTGGTGATTGAAATCAGAAAATTACTGCTTTAAGTATTTCAAAGTATTCTTCTAGTCACCAGAGAAAATATATATTCACTTCTAGTTGCACTTACATCCTCTGCCAAACAGGAGGCACTGTGCAGGACTGGAGTGGGGCTGTGTTTCTCATACTGCTTCAGTTTTTCATGGATCTGGATGTAAAGCAAGAAGCAACAAAACCACAAATGCAGATCATTAATTTTTAATGAAAAAACAAACAAACAAACAAACAAACAAACATCATATATGATGTGTACCGTTTTATAACCAGCCACTATGTTAGGTAAAGTTGTTCAACAGTTTGTTAACACAAATATCCAATCAGCCAATCACATAGCAGCAGCTCAATGCAGACATGTAGACAAGGTCAAGACAACCTGCTCAGGTCCAAACTGAGCATCACATCGAGAAGGAAATGCAATTTAAGTGACTTTGAACAGGGCATGATTGTTTGTGTCAGACAGGCTGGTCTGAGTATTTCTACTGATCTACCGGGATTTTCCCACACAACCATCTCTAGGGTTTACAGGGAATAGTCAGAAAAAGAGAAAATATCCACTGAGAGGCAGTTCACTGGGTGAAAATGACTTGTTGATGTCAGAGGAGAAGAATCAAACTGCTTCAAGCTGACAGGAAGGAAAAAGTAAGTCACACAACCACTCATTTAATGGTTCGGTTTTTATATAGCTCTCTTTTGACTATACTTGAGCACTCAAAGTGCTTTACACAACATGTCTGATTCACCTATTCACACACCCTCACAGTTTTTTTCTGTGCTTTGTGTCCAACATCCAATTGTAAATGGACGGTTTTGGAACAACTCGTGGTTCAGCAGTGACCCATGAGTAGATGTCATCTACACCGTAGCAATTAAACTTAATGTGCATGTACAGTAATCCAGCATGTGTGAAAAAAACTAAAAAAACTAAATAAAATATCTGAATCACAATTACAGTAGTCACTTCTACTCTGATGTATCCACTATACCTTCATGAGGTATCCAATGCTTTTCTCGCTGAAGACATCTTTGAGGAAGACCAGGTCTTCTTTGTGGTTGGCATCAGGGTGAAGCTGAGACGTGAGCAGAGCCAGGATCTCATGCAGCCCTTGAGTATTTAAAAAAAGAAAAAGAAATCATGCTGTGTATTTATGACTGAGTCAAAGAACAATTTCTATCTAGAAATGCATCGTACATAATAACCACCTTCATCAACAAAGAGACTGTATGGATTCTCTCTTTAGCTCACCGATGTTTATAATAATATGCTTTCCCATATCATCCCCCCTTTCAAATTCCAACAGTTTATCCATATTAATGTAATAATGCTTTATTCCAGCACATAATTTATTCAGAACTACATAAAAAGCTTCAGACCATGAACGAGCCTGAGCATGTGTACCTGTGCTTGCAGATACGATGGGCATGGCTTCAATCATTCAGAGGCGGCAGGAGGCTGCGGAGAGGTTGGAGGGGGAGAGAGGAAACAGTTCTCTCAAATAATTCCCTCTTCTGTTTTGTTTTGTTCCTCACATGAGGCCGAGACAGAATCACAGAGAACAACCTGGGATGAAAACAAAGAACACAACATACGACCATATCAGTGAGGACGCCTCAGAGCGCCATTAAGAGACCCAGGACTCATTGTGAGATTCGTCTCTGTGCATTGCAACTTCATGTACTATTTCTGCATCCAGCACCTGATATTTGGCAGTCATGTGCATGTGACTAAATGCACTGGTTTTGGATCTTTTGCTGTGTTATTATCAGAATGTCATTATTTTTAATTCACTGTAAGATTAAACAAGAGAAAAAAAACAGATATGCTTCTTTTAAAAAAAACATCCCTGGCAAAAAACGTCTGTTTGATTGTGATGCTTACAGAGAGGACAGCGAACTCCACGCAGCACATAATTGGTCATTTAAAACCAATACCCAAATGCGAATACATTTTTCAAAGGGCAGCCCTGCTTTGACAGTGATGAATGGACCCATTACTGCACTCAAGTTCCAGTATAATTAATATTTGCTCTCATTACCGAGGCATAAAGCATTAATTTCATTTCAAACTGTGCGACTGCTCATTTGAAGAGAAGCAAGGTCAGATAATGATACCAGGCACTTTTGTCCAATAGGATTCTTTACCTTGTCACCATGACAACACTATAGTATATGTGACTGATAAGCTTTTTGCAGTTAAACAGAGCCGTTTCACATTGAGTAATGAAAGTCTTTAATAATGTTGCATTCAGGTCTTTTGTATATTAGAATACTTTTACTCACAATCATTCATGTGCAATCATCATACATGGCTTCCCTTCTCACTTCCAGATACATTTTTAACCACACTCCTCATTAACTGCCAATGAACACATGTGGCTGAAGTGGTGCAAGCTTCACCTGCAAAACCAGCTATTTTTGGATAATCCTGATCAAGGTTGCAGACTAAACAGAATACGTGTTTAGATGGAGAGCTTCTACTTTATTTGCAGGGCATTCAGAAAATTGTCCTTGGGCTGAATATCCCGGCTGTCACAGGCCGAGAAACAGAACACACTCTGGAGAGGTTGCCAATCTATCAACCAACTCACATTCACATCTACAGCCAGTGTGGAATAATCTAACATGCATGTCTTTGGAATGTGGGATGAAGCTAAAGCACCTCAAGAGAACTCACTCAAACGCTGGCAGAACATGGATGGATTCGAACCCAGGACCCTCTAGTTGTGAGGTGACGGCACCTGCTGTCCTGGATAAAGTGGAAGAAAATGGATGAAGCCTTATGTTTAAATGTTTAGATTGGTCCTCATTGACTGATTTTGAAGTGTAAGTAAAGAGTTAAGACGAGTTAAGACAAGTTAAGATGTCATTAATGAATCTTGTTTTAGAGAGCCCAGGAGCTTAGACTTGGCCCAATGTTCATCCTCCAACAGGACAGTTACCAACACAGCTGAGAAACTGCAAGCTATGGGCATTCAATTTGAAATAGCATTGCAGATGTGACATTCAAGTGCCAGATCTCAGTTGTAATGCATCCCTCTTTTCTCACATTTATCCAGTTCAGGATTGTGAGGTGCTAGAACCTATCCAGGGTGTCATAGTGTGAGAGGCAGGGTGCACCCTGGACAGACCAATTTATCACAGGACTCTGTAGGAAAGGATGAACTTTTAAGATATAGGCCCAGATTTTTTATTTTTTTTATTCCAAGAAAAAACTCTAACCAAGTCTGATCAAACTGGCTGTTTGTTTCCAACAAAACGCCCAAGTTAAGTTTGACAGTTACTTCACAGGCCAGGTAAATCATAATGTTCACTAGTTAATAAAAACAGATTTTTAAGATCAAAATTAATACGCAGACATATTGGCAGATGTGTTTTTTCCCTCTTTCTGACACACAAAACACAGATTTCTCTAAAATTTGTTGTGTTTCATCATTTACTCTGCCCAAGCCTGCTCAGATCAGCTGGTTGTTGCCAATAAGGAGGTTGCATAGTGCCCTCTGGTGGACAAACTATGCAATGGCACTGATGACATGACTGAAGGGTGTTTCTCTTTGCTTTTAAATTACTGGCTGTTATAAATACTGATAATGAATGACCAGAGAGTGGCCATGCCATCCCCAGTGCAGCTTGCTGTGAGCACATTCTGCTTTTAGCTCGACCGTCATGGGGATGAATCCTGCTGAGTCAGATGAGGTTACAGACTTCACAGGTAATCCTTTTGAGAGACTTAAAAAAAAAAAAAGTTCTGCAAAACAACCATTCCTTTTTTGTTTTTCCACTTTATTCATTTTTCAACCCGCATCCTGACCTTTTTGTTTTTGATGTTTTCCAGGAGTTTGCGGCAGAGAGTCCTGGGGAAGTTCAGTCATTAATTCTGAGAATGAAAGCAGTTTTCATTACCACTGTCATGTTCTAGTTTTCCTTAAAAGGAAAAATAAAAAAATCGATTATTTTAGAAAACCAGCCTTTGATACCCAGAAAAAGCGACAGTAATCTAAAAATCAATCTCGCCTGACTCACATCCAATCACGAACCCTCACATTCTTGCACTTAAAAGGGCAAAAACCATCGATATAAACCTAATGATGGTCAACCACGACTATGCTGGTAAAACCTTTAATACAAGAAGAAAACTGTATGTCTCTTAATACTGGACTATGCCTTTTCCTCTAGAGCTGTTGGTATCTGTTATTTATTTTAATTAACAGTCCCTATATTAGTGCAGCAGGTGGAGCAGCTATTCCAGACCAGCTGCTACATACCCTCATAACTGCTCCTGGAATTGCTGGCTATGTAGGTGGGAGGCTAAATCTCCCCTCTGAGCTTAGCTCACAGCTGTGGGAGAGCCTCATAAAATACCAGGTGAGCAGAGCGCACAGTGTGTATGCAGTCTTCACAGTCTCATCCTACACACATTCCTTCATTACCGACAGTGCTGAGAGGCCATGCAGCCGATTGTGTTACAAACGTATATGAGTAAACAGCATCTCTATGGAGATAAATAAGGATGTTAGTTAAACAAAGGGCTGTCTTTTTTTAAATCTCTGCACATTTTCTTCACAGCTTGAAAGAATCTCAGCCAGCTCTCCACATGTATAAAAGACATTTCTTTGTTGTAAAATGCATATTTTCCCATCTACACTGGACTAAAATTTATTCCAGTCATCCAAAGCAGTGTTTAGAAAAATGTCAACCAAGCACGACACAAACTTTCACCTCTCCGCATCACTTTACACCACAGACTGTACAAGAGTCAGAGCCTGTACTTCAAAGTCAACCTTTGGATAAGTCTAAATCTAACTCTGGGTTTTCTGTACTATAAAGGTGGTTTACTTCTTATCACAGTAAATCACCATGGTAACTCATGCACTGAACTCAACCTGCCCTGCAGCAGGTTATGTTTCAGATCAGAGGTGTGAAATCACTGCCTACTGACCAATCAATTCTCCAGAAACAGCGTGACCATCTTGAGAAGATTCCTGAGAGGGCGAGTAGGAGGATAGGATCCTGCTCCTGATGAGCAGGATAGGACAGATTCTTGGATGCAACTTTATTCCTTAAACCCTCACCCTCCTGTCACCAGTCAAACAAACAAACAAACAAAAACTGTATTATTATATAAACATTAATATATGATCCTGCACCTACTTTATCTATAACATTTAATATAACAATAAATGTCTAAATAGATCCAGTTTAGTTTCAGAGCTCTGATGTGCAGCCGTCATGTTAGAAATCAACAGCAGAACTGCTAAAAACAATTTCACAACAGGATTAATACAGGATCTGAAAAACAGTGCACCTGTTTCTACTTGCTGATCTTCAATTAAATTCACATGTAGACCAAGCCTGTATTTAAATTCTGCTTTAAAAAAATACTCATTGCTTGCTCTCAGACTGTTAAACACCAATTAACTTAATAAAATACTCTATTATAAGCCATCAGATTCCCCTTAATGATTCAGCTGTGATTCTGATACGCCTGTTATTTTCACAGTTAGACTCTTATCTGGCTTTGCTTGCAGGCTTCAAATAGACTAAAATTCTGTAATACAGTAGGTCTTTTCCAGTCTTACTGACCAAAGCACTTAAAGATTAAAAACAAATACAGAGATGAAAGCCCAAACTAATGTTCAGTACCTTTTCCTTTCACACACACTGTTTGTCTGGAGCATCTGTGTTGCTTTCAATCTGCGTTATGCATTTCTTACTGTGTAAAATCAGCCACTGTGATTGGTTAACTGCTGCCAATGTCTTCCCTTTCACATGAACCTGCTCATAGCTAGAATGAGAAACCCTGCATTAATTTAGCATGTGGATAAGCAGCTTTGTGTGACCGTTTATACTTACGTTGGTAAGTGAATCCAGATAATGGAAAGATACCCTGGCTATGTTGAATGTGCTTTGTGGCATGCGGCCCAGGTCTGAAAAGTAAGCCAATTCAAAGCTCAACTTGCTTTCTTTATGACAGCCAGCAGAAAAAACTGCCTTTTCTGCTAATATAAAGAAGCCTAACGCCACACTTATCTTAATATAAGAAAAAGCAGCATAGTTTCTGTTATTTAATTGCTTTCCTGTTACTTTGATGCAGTATGAATGGAGGAAAAGCTGTTCAACTTAAGAAAATACAGTTAAGTCTATAATTTATGCTGTACTTCACTTCTATTCCACTACTTATTCCAGAAGCTGAAAAACAAGTAGATGACTTTGTGCAACATTAGAAAAACATCATCAGAAGTCTATTGGGCCACATTTAAAACAAAAAAAATCATTTTTTTAAAGGTAGAAGAACACTTCTCCGACTTCAATCCCCAACGTATGTGGCAAGGACTCCAGACCATTACAGACTACAGGACCATCAAACCCTTCCCCACATCCTCTGATGTCTCCTTCCTCAACGAACTCAACTTTTATGCTCGTTTTGCGCAAGGGAATCCAACAACTGCAACTAAAGCAGAGGGGACTCCGGACCACCAACCACTGACTCTCTCCCCCACCGATGTAGGAGCGGTGCTGAGCAGGATTGATGTCCACAATGCTGCAGGTCCTGATGGGATCCCC